TCCCCGTCACCTCGACATACTGTTTCGGTCTATTTGAAAGTATTAAAACGAAAAATAATCGAAAACAATACCGTGGCGTCGACAAAACAGAAACAGGACATAATATACCTAACAAATAATTATGATTATGGTCGTAGAATTACTTTATTTTAATACCCGTCCGTTTTTGGCCTATGTGTGCACAGATGATCGTTCACCGACACCGACGGATGTTGGTTTTCGGTAGCTTAGCTGTCGCGCTGTCGCTGATACTGATGGCCAAGCACGAGAACAACGTTCGGTTCATCAGCAGCGACATGGAAAATGCCAAGCCACGCGATGTCTGGGAATACGTGTCCGACTTCTCCAACGTGATGAAGCTCAATCCGACTATGTAAGTGTACAGTTATTATTTATTGGCGATCGCGATGGAAATGAAAATTATAATATTTCGAGACTATTTTTAGACTATAGGTATATACCAACGTAGGTACTATAAAGTTATATTTTTTACTATTGTCCAAAAATTATAAGCCTTATAAAGTTATAACCTAACCATGCCTAATCAATTGCCCCGGTATCATTATAACATCATATGTATTTATATGCAATCGAGTTTGTATCAAATATTATCGTAGAGGGTGATATAAAACATTTTTAAATTTTCAATATTACCTATATGTTAGGTATAATATTCCTGAAACAATTGCTTATATAGCAACCTTTCACTTTTATAGCTGATAAGCTGATGGATACGTATCGATCCAAATTTTCCAATATTGTCATAGCCCCATAGTAAAATACATAAAACATGTCTTATTGAGATATTAAAATATAGAAGTACCCTAAATATTAAAAAGAGCGTAAAAAATTAACAATGGTGATCCTAAAATGTATCATGATTGCAAACGGTTACTGAGAAATGAGCACAAATTAAAATTGGGGTACAGTATTGTTTGAATTTCTACTATATATATTAATATATACAGTTGTGTATATTTTTATAAGCATAAACAAATTGACAAGGGTTATTTTGAATTATAAAATACCATATTACTTTTTTTTTTGTAAATGAACCCCTGAAAAAGTTTCTGAATTATAAATTGTCAGCCATTTATTTTGTCCCCCTAAAGTCTATAGCATCAAATGAACGATAAACATCTTTTATGTTTGCGATTTTAGCCAAATAGGCTTTAACTCAAATTGGCTCTTCGAGTGTGTCACAGAAGCTTAAATTAAACTTTCTACTATCCTATCCTCATTTTCCATAAATAATTTCACAATATACGACATGACGTTGGGCGTCTATTTTACTCTATGTAGTTTTGAAAAAAAAATATATATATATATAACAAAATATACTTAAATGTGTTTTTATTATTAATGGTTGACTATACTAAAAGACTTTTCGTAACTCCATAACAGTTTAGTAAATTTTTTACTCAATACAGCGCCTTAATAGGCCATTTATCATTTGCTTGCTTAGTGGTATTTCCGAAAACGTTTGGAGAATAATATTGTACGCCAGTGCCTGTTACGATGCAATGTTACCTAGATTGTTATATTATGCTTTTTATTCTCCTTTTTCCTCGCCCATATTTGTGACAACTTTTGGTTGAGTGTTATTTACAGAACAGCGTGAATTTTTTATGCGTTTCAACAGTCACCAGCACTTTGTATACAATTTATACGCGGGATCAAACACTCCTGGTAAAACAGTTTATTACGTGTTAAATATTTATTTTAATAATGCCACAATAATAATAATAACTGTAGCATAATAGGCGTATAGTACGTCATTATGTTGTAATATAGGTACCTGAAACGGTCGCATATATGTATTTATATATACGAGTACAGTCGTACACGGGATAGTAAAAATATCGACGCTCTTGGATGGTTTTTTTATACACAAACACAAACACATACACACGCATTACTATAATGAAATTGAATTTATTTCCCAACACGAGGCGGTGGTGTATCGTGGAAATGTGGAATACATATACAAAGGTTCTGAAAATTATAAAAATAATATAATACATTATTATTTTCATTTTTTTTTATATATATGGTCTAACGTGGCGTAATTCTCATCAGTCACTACTCTTGATAAATTCTATTACCGAAATTGAGATTTGCTCAGGAACTACACAGGTATAGATCTACCTTAGACACATGTTCAATATATTTTCACACACACCTATACATATTATATTATATAGTTTATGTATCGTTATCGGAAAGGCACGTGGAGAATAGGCAGAACCTACATTAAAATAATACACATCGTACCTATAATAATATGAAAGCCTTCCCGGCGATACGTGTTTTCTAGATAAAAACAGATTTCGGGCGAGAGGCGATGTAACGATTTGCAGTTTGTGTTTTATACATTCTGTAACCATTATATTTATCTATTACAGGGGCGTTATTTGGGGGGGGGGTAGGGTGTGTGGTTGCACCCCTTACTTTTAGAATGTTACAATTGGCCTGCGCCTTGCTGAAGCCTAAAATAATGCACGAGCCACRAATGCACAATTATTTATMTGATTAAAATCAAATTGTAATAACYGGTYTATAATGTATGRAAATAATTGAATGCAGGATAATATGCATATACGTATGTATATCTATTTTTATATGGCCTGGTGAAATTTCAAAATGGCCTGCTTGAAACTTTGCACACCCGAAAAAAAACCTGAAATGACGCCCCTGATCTATTATTATTAAATAGGCGTATCGTGACGAATTTATATTCGGGAGTAGATGGGCTAACTAGTCTATAATGTTTAGGGTAGGTACGCAACATAATAGTGTATTATAAAAATTGTGCTAAAAAAGAACTAACGGAGGGGGGGGGCTAAATCAAATTTTAAAAGTGTCTTAGACTCCTCCTTGATAATGAGGCCTTTGTAATGAACACAATATTATTATGCTCAACGGATATTTTGTTCATCATTATGAAGTAGGTATTTTGAAGGCCGGAAATTAATAACGAAAAATATTTGAATTTAGAATTTCAAACACATGTCTTAACACGATAGAAAAATAGGGTAACGAGCTAAGATGTCGGAGACTTAATTTAAAAAAAAAAAAAGACAAATAGTATTATAATACAGACTTGTAGTTATTCACACACAGTCAAAATACATATAGTTTATAACAAATCAACATTTTCAGATATTTCAATCGCAGTTAAAATATTATACATAAAAAAAATCCATCACCATGAGTTCATTAATTCTTTAGAAATCTGTGAATTTCATAGGCATGGAAGTTAGAAGGGATATATTAAAATGTACATAAAGGGATTCATAAAAATTTGAAGTATTGTTTTACGAATTCATTACTCCGTCCCACCGTGGTTTGCAATGTTTTGTGAACATTCTACCAGATGGCGTCACTCTGTTGTATGCAAAGATATAAAGCATCGAGTAGAAATACCGTAATGGTAACAATAATAATTGCTTGCGTTTTGACATTGTCGTGGACAAATAAATGTTTCAGACTTAAATTTTAAATTATTATTATTATTACGATTTTTTTTCAGGAAATAGACGCTTAATGTATTACATTATATAATATTATTATTTTTATTAAGGAAAAAGCCTCGGTAACGTGACCATTGGCTTGTTTTTACATGATAATAATGATTTAAATTAAATTGTACAATTCAACATCTTTCAGAAATAAAATTATATTTTGGATGGGTTTTTCGTCAGGGCTCAGTGCGTCATGAAGGTGTTAAATATTATTTATTTGATACTGTGTGGCATTTTTAGAATAATAATGATAATATCCAATATTTTATTACCCAATGTCTTATTTTCATAATATATAATATTAAAACACATCGCGTGTAAATTACACGTTATTGTATTTTTTATAAAAGCAAACCAGCTTTCTGTATTTGCTCAACTCAATCATATTATTATTATTATTATTATTATCAACAGGCAACTCACGGTGTACGCCCGGATTTTGGGATTTGCCCATAACATATTATTATTATTACTATTATACGGCTCAGAATAGTAGTATTATATTATCATACAAACGTACGGTCAAACTATTTCGTAGTTGATTCGATTATGATGAAATAGAATTAAAATAATAGTATACGAACTATTATGTGTATACGGTCAATGGTCTTGTTAGTACAAAACAATACAATTACGATGCAATTGTAATACGATCACATCATATTACGTATTTTTTCGTAAGTTATTAGTCGGTTTGGCATAATATTTGGTTGGAAAGTTTTTCTTTTATCCACCTAGTTGCTACACAATATTTTTATGTCTATTAGGCAACTGCACGATATTATTTTTAAACTACATATTGAAGCATCAATATTCTGCAGTGTCGTAGAAACTAAATAAATAATTGTTCCAATAATATTGCGATTTACACAATAAAATACGAATATGACGAATAATATTTCGTAAATCATWTTACACGTAGTTTTATTATTTTATCATCATTATTTGTATAAAATATTATTTTCCARTGGCTTTTATGTAGTCTCAATAAAATTCAATCAGGTAGATATCATATACATGATATAAGTAACATATTTCATTAAAATATAATGGTATAATCACATGATCTCTATACATTCTGTCTTGTCTTTATTTAGCACAATATTGAATACGTGTCGTATACGATGTAACATAGGATCAATAAGGGTACAAAACATTGTTGAAAATTTTACGATTTAAAAATGTTATTGTCTCCAATCAATTTAGATCCTGTTTATAAGTCGTGTGGTTGGCTTCTGTGGTCTTCAATAGGAAGATATCACGTATCGAGGTAAGCACGGAAGTTTTTTCGTAGATTTTAAAACGAAGYGCTCTTTTKGTTTTTTATTTATAGACTTCCGCGGAAGTTTTTAAATTGATTTGTTATCCGCGTTGATAGGTGTAGGTTAATCCCGTATCGTTGAGATGCTGTTTCGCAGGAACCCAGGGGATTTTAGCGGTATTTTCTAGAATTTATTTTGTAGAATTCGTGAGTTTATAATTTTTGTTTAGTTGCAGCCACCGCAGCCCCTACTGGGAATGCGTAGGTAGGCGTTAACATTGCGCATACATCGGAGCATTGAGTATTTCATCTGTTTAGGGTTGGAGCTAGATTTAATAAGGGATAGATGAGTACCTGCCTACCTATATGATTTTTACCCTTCAATATACTCCATAAACAATATACATCATTAGATCAAGCTCACAATACACGGTATTGTGTAGGTAATAATTTTATTTTATATCAATCAGTTGGGTTTTATTGTTTCTTTCAACTCGAGCAAGTGTATCATTATACTACTATAAGCATAACTCAAAAAATATTACTTTCCATCTCGTTCAATAAAATGTAATACTTGCAACGACAAAGCCAGATTATCTACTTTCACCTCCAACGGATATATATTTATTTTCACAAGAACTAATACAAATAATATTTTAAATTCTAAAAAATAAGGAAAACTTGACGACAGAATTTTATGTAGGTAGTTGACGTATAATACATTTTTATTTTTACCTAATTTGATAAAAATAATTTTTTATTCATCTTTCTTCGGATGTCTGTATTCTGCAATGAGTAGAATTTAAATTCTTTGTATTTAATAAATTAAATACAAAAATATGTATACATATTGCTTAAATGAATCATAGATGTGTATAATAATACACTCATAACAGAGTATTTAGYGTAATTTTAACATACAAATAACTATCTATTTTGACTTATAATGATGTATAATATAAATTAAACTGAGATGACTCTTATCTCTTATTATTATTATGGATCATAACGTTTTCGTGAAGTTACTACTACTCTCAGCCAATATTGGTTTTTATTTATTTAAAGATGACATGGTCAACAGAATTGAAACTTCCTTTAATATGAAACGAAAATCAATAAAACGTTTTACAGATACAATTGGATGCATTTGAAAGAAACGATGTTGGTATTTGTAAAATTAATTTTATTGTTAAGTGGCATATTATAAGTCATATTATATTTTTCATTTTTCGATATTATTTCTATCCAATTTCAATTACTTTTGAAACCATCAGATAATAATTGAACAACATAACACAACATTAGATTAGTTCATGATTTTAATTGCATTTGATACTTTTTTTTCTTTTAAATACAGTAAAACTTTTATGCATTTTAGAATATAAAAAAAAACTTRAGTGTATTTATTTTGACATAAAAACAGTATTATGAATTAACTTTTATAATTATTGAACTAACTGTTAATTCATCGGAAGCTTAATTAAATATTGATGTTTGGTAAATAATAGTTAATACTAATATTAAGTGACTATCAACACTTCAACAGAAATGTAATTAAATAAAAACCAATGCAAATCATTATGTAATTTAACTACATTCAATAATAATAGTGGCCAAAAGTGCAGGTTTTGAAGATAAAGGAAAATATGTAACCGAATTGCCTATTCATAACGCCGTGTTACAATATTTTTTTATTGAAACTAATTAAAATAAACCATATTTGCGAGAAAAAAAATGACCTAGTTGTGATAATTATATCAAAAGAAGGAAATTAGTGTATGTACAGAAGAAGAAGAAGAAGAAGAAGAAAATAAACGAATAGAAATTAAGACTGGTGTACATATTTTGTGTAATATTGAACAACCTAGACGAAACATGAAAAATATAGGTGAAAACTTTGACTTATAAGACCCTCTGACGATGTTTTTTTTGGGACGGAGCGACGTCGTATGGATTCGACGTTCAATACCACTGAATCGGGGACGATTTATTACTGAGCCATTTAATTATAAAATATAGTAAACCAATATTTTTTGTGGCAACATCAATGCATATGATATAAAATGTTCAGTATCTATAGAAACTCCATGAGTCGACAAACTACGAGTCAGCGGTGGATGCCTGGGGGGGGAGGGGAGGGGTCGTATCACGAGTGAACCAAAATGTATTTTAATATTATGTAGTATGATATTCATATTGTGTAATACTTTTTTAGCCTCGTTTTGTCCACAATAGTGTCACAGTTCAGTGACACCCACACTAAATGGAATCGTGTGAAAGAAAAGTAGTTCTCAGGTTATAAATTTCAAATTCTATTGAAAATTCATTTTCCCATTATATTTTATAGTGACGTTACTAGAATTGTTGGAATCAATTACATTTTTTTTAATCAACTACACAATATTTCTTAAACTTCATAATTTTTCCGTTGGCACTACTGAGTTCGCTCCCCCATCTGTCAATCTCGCTAGGTATGTAAATATTACTTATTGTACTAAATTATTGTATAGATTGTAATCATTTTAATAATAAAAAAAATCGTAATTCAACATTTTTAAATATTTTATATAATAATAATTAATATAATATAAAAATTAATAAATAATGTATATCTAAGTTATAATTTAGTTCAATCAGGCTATCTTTAGCTGCGACTACGGTGCAGTGGCCGAGGAACTAACTGTGCTAACGTTTTAATCATAATGTAATAATATATTAGGCCGGCTTATAGAGGATACACTAAATTGTAGTTGTACAGTGAATTTATATAATAACTACCATAATATATTATTCTGTGTACTCATAATAGAGCTTTCATATTAAATTTTATTATATAGAACGAAATTCATAATAACGCACGAATCGACAGACTACAAACAATGGAACTACACCGTCGAGTATGAAGAACACTTATCTCAGATTCCGTTCGTGACCAACAAGATTATCGGTGATTTCGTTGTAGACAAATCACATTCACAACGCGCAATCAAATCGACTCACCGGACATGTTTTGCCAAGATTTATTGTTGTGAGTATACACAAACACACGCGCATGCACATAAACACCTACACACACACACCCAAAGTCCCTCACTTAACCATAAGCTAATAACATAATAACTATAATAGATAATATTGTTTAAATGTACAGCATGGTTAGCAATATTATAACATCTATATTATCCAAAAAAGTGTAAATTCTGAATACCATCCTATATATTAGCAAAAATTTAAAATAATTATTTCATGTAGTTCATATCATGGTTTTTTCTTTTCATTTATACATATAAAAAAATAATAATAATAATAAATCTAACCTCAAATTAACATATCTGAAATATTTTAGAGAGGTGTTAAACATATTTAATCTAAGAAAATAAAAGTTTCATTTACTACACATTAAAAATATATTCAGTAAGTGCATATAGTTCGGAAAATTTAATATTGACGTATTAAATATTAAACGAAACCGACATTTTAAAATATTTTTGTATTTTTTATGCCTGTGATTTTTTGAAAATCGGCAACCGTTCTCGTCAATCTTTTAATTAAGTTATAAAACAAAATGTCTTCCTCAAGACACTGCAGGTTTGCCTTTAGACGTATTTACTTTAATTAGTCTAATATTTTATACGTTTAATAGCACGTTATATACTATAGAAACATGTCACCACCCTCGTTGCCCATTACCTTAATTCTGGCACTACCTCATTATTTATTCATTTTGCATGTTTGATTTTTTTCAACCCCTTAAACATAGTGTGCATTTTATATTTATACCAAGTTGCGCAACTGAGCTTTAATATTATTACACCGTTTGTCATGGCGTTGGTTAACTTCCAAACCTCATGTTGCAGTGAATACCAAATCGGAAATGATATTCGTGGACTTATCAAACGGTACCAGAATCGWGGAGAAAATCAAATATGAATGTCCGTGGTTGTTGACTAGGTTCTGCATGAACGAAGTTCTGTATCAGAGGAAGGAAATATTCAAACAGCTCCAGACCTTGTTTGCTGACATAAAACGTTAATGTTATTATTATTATTATTATCCTGTTTGATTTTCTTAAAAAATATATATGTATATAATATGTATAGTCAATTCCGTATTTATCGTGAGAAGGCAGTACGCAATTTTTTATCCTACTATCGTTTAATTAATAGCTCCCGAAAAATAAAGCTTTKCCCTCTCCATCCTCAAATAAGAACAAAAGAACAAAATTTAAATTGTTAATTTTTTCGACTTTTTTATGTTTTATTTTATGTAGGGCATTAATTTTCTTTCGACTAGATCGAAAAGAATAATAATAATAATAATAATAATAAAAAAAAAACCGAATAATATTATTATTAACGCATTCTTTTAACGGGATTTTACTTGCCGCTCTACGCAAAGAATAAAAATAAAATAAAATATTGTGTTCTGGTGGTAGCTGAATGCAAATGAAAGAGCTCGATTAACATTAACGTTTTCCTTGCAGATATTAACATTCCGACTAATACCTCTT